AAATTTCAGTCACTGAACCATAAAAAGGTGAAAAGTCTCTGTCAGATGTGTGTGTAGTGGACTGTATAATAAGGAAGAACTGAAGGAAGCAACCAAACCAATGAAGAGACTTTGTCTAAAGGCAGAGTAATGCTAAGGGCAGTGGGAGTGACAAAAATGGAGAAAAAAGTTTGTGATCATTTGGGAAACAGACTGGGAAGTGCTTGGTCATGAGATGTGAAAGAAAAGGGAAAGTAGAGGGAAAACAGACCTGCTCAGGCTCTGCTGGGGAAGACTGGGTACATAGTGATGCCTTCCTCCTGGCAGAGAATGTAGGAAGAAACATGGGTAAGAAGGAAAAGATAGTTTTTACTCTCAGTGTCACATTAAAATGGAACTCTCTGGTCAAAAGTTGAATATAAATCTCTGTGGGCTAAGTCCATTTGTGGCATCCCAACATATGCTTTCAAAAATAACACACATACTAAATCAGCCGTTAAGAGTAACTGGGGAAACTTCCTGAAATTTACATGTTAAGAATATCACCATTTTTCATTTATCACTTTCACGGAGCAACTTTGAATCTATGGTTACAGCAAATGAGGCATCTTGTGTAAAATAAAGCAAAGACATGAAACAAAACATTTAAAATTCCATTGTTGTCAGAGAATGGAGAAAGCAACTGAAGCCATGGGCATGGAGGTGATTGCCTTGAGAAGTTGTGTATAGTAAGGAGAAGTGGGAAGAAAGAAGACCTGGAGAATAGGGTGATTTATACGGCAGTAAGTGCAGCCTGAAAAAGTGAGCACTGGGAGTCAAGAGACCTGCATATGAATCAGGAATGGCTGCTCCTGTGAGTTGTTAGAAAGGAGATGATGCCTTCTTTTCATTTCTATAACAGCAGCACCTAGCACAGTGCCTGTTCAATAGGTACTCAGCATGTATTATCCCAATGCACAGAGTCAAATTTTGCCAGGAGGGCAGGAAAGCTACAAATCAGCTATGGCAACTTAGTGATTGGGCTTGTGTGTGTGAGTTAGCTGGGTGTCAGGCAGTGGGTAAAGTAGTGAACTGGAGGTGAGAAAACAACGACACAAACTCAAGGCTTCTCTTCCCAAGTATTTGGCTGAGAAGAGAGATGTAGTAGTAGTTAAAGGGAGACACATGGTAAAGAAAGCCTTTTATTCCAAGATTCAACAAAAGCATGAGTATACTTCTATGTTAAAGGGAAAGAGCCAGCAGAGAAAACCCATTTTTGAGGTTAGAAGAGAAGGAAGAACGAATGCACAAGGGCCCCAAAAGGCACACATGCATGCAATCCGATCAGAGACAGATTAGCTTTGGACTCCTACAAAAGCAAGAAGGGAGAAAGGACCATGTGACTCTAGGGATATTTCTGGTAGAGGAAAGGTTTAGGAAAAGATCATTTGATGACCTTTATTTTAACAGACTTAAAAAAAAAACTACTGTGGAGAAAAGGATATTATGTATAGAAAAGTCTACACTTCTTGATACAACTAACTTTAAAAAAGCCTGATACACTAAACAAAACCCAAATAATGTCTTCCCTAAAAGTGGGTAACTTGAAAAGCAATTTGAGCAAAAATCAAGGCGTTAAATTACAAATAACCATATCAACAAAGTGAAAGATGGGTTTAACTTTTCCCACAAAAAGTTAAAAGAAATAACAGCAACTTTAGGAGAAGAGGAAAAAATAACTAATAAGAAAATTAGGCCGGGCGCGGTGGGTGGTTCAAGCCTGTAATCCCAGCACTTTGGGAGGCCGAGATGGGCGGATCAAGAGGTCAGGAGATCGAGACCATCCTGGCTAACACGGTGAAACTCTGTCTCTACCGAAAAATTACAAAAAGCTAGCCGGGTGAGGTGGCGGGCGCCAGCTACTCGGGAGGCTGAGGCAGGAGAATGGGGGTAAACCCGGAAGGCAGAGCTTGCAGTGAGCTGAGATCCGGCCACTGCACTCCAGCCTGGGCGACAGACCGAGACTCCGTCCCTCCCCAAAAAAAGAAAAGAAAAGTATATGCAATTGCAACATGTGTGAATATTTGCAAACTCTAAAATATAACTACAAAAAGGACCAGAAGGATCAGTAACATAGGAAGCAAAGGGTCATTTCAAAAATCAGAGGAGGGATGATTCATTTTTAATTTAATTCTGTGGAAAATATGTAAGTAATGTTTGAGGACAAAAATCGGTGGTACGTTGAAATGTGGGAAACCACAGTGGAAGGAGAAAGAATTCAAGAAAGCTCAGTTTCAGTAACCAATATCTAGTAAAATCTTCAGGACTTAGGAGCTACAATCTGTGTTAATAGTGTCTGAAGACCTAGAAATGTCATTAGATACCATTTTGGATAATTCTTGTAGACTTGAGATGATGTCTATTTAAAGTTACAAAAATAGTGCCTGTATTTGTGTATTCATTACAGCAAACAATTGGATATGGAAAGGAAACTAGCATGCTATGCTACAATCTCTAAAGAAAGATTAGGGAAGTTTCAGCTTAAAGCAACAATAATCACAATAAAGTTTTACAATCCTTTGCAAGCATATATGAAAAACATACAAAAGTTTTTAATGATCTTTTTTTAAGCTAAGAGAACAGAAAACATGAAAAAAATTAAATTATAAAATGAAACTTTGGTTTAGAGGTAAGAAACATTTTATGACCGTCAAGAGATCAGGGTTGTACAGTGTATTATGTGAATGTTGTGACTCATTGGTTTCATCTTGGATATCATAACTTGACATTTTGTAAAACTGATTTTCCATGGGAATTTTTTCAGGTGCCCTGTAAAGTCCTGTCCCATCAGAAGCGAATAATAATCTTCCATATTCTTGAGATAGCTTAATGGCATCTTCTACAGTCTTCCATTGTTTAGTTTAGGTAAAGCTGGGAATCATTTTTGGGTATCATCTCATCCAACTTCTTTACCCATCCCCATCGTAAGTCAGGAAGGTCTTGGATATTTTCTGCTCTAGCAATTAATTCATCATTAATCCTGGAGTTATTTGCTATTACAGTCATTTGTCCTACTTCACTTCCCATAAGCACAATGAACTTACCACCACTGACTCCTAAACCACATTGAATTTGTAGATCTGATTTGACTTTGTGAGCAAAAGTTCTATGTATATCCTGTAATTCTTGCCTAGTATGAAACTTACTTTCAGTAGAGATTGTATTTCTGCACTCATGCACCTATGCCACTTGCACTCCTATTCCTGTTCGGGCTTTCCAGGGGTCATGATAACCTCCTGGGTTCTCTGGAAGAGGGACATATTCTTCAGGATGACGTTGTAATATTGTGTTAGCTAAAATCATCTATCTAAATGGATAGTTCCTAATGTCTTGTAATAAATCTGGTACTTTTTATTTTTCTTCGCTCTTCGAGTTGATGTGGCCAATTCCTGAGGTTGGGTAATCAGGCCAGTATCAGACTGGTCTTTGCCAGAACTTTTTGCCTAGTACATTTCTCTACTGCTTTCTACAGGTCACTGGATGTTAATATGGGTTCTGGAATGCAATTTTAAAAAATGTCTTGTGAATGACTTGCAACATAGTCATTTAATTTTCAAATATAATTTGCAAGTGAAATGTGTAGGACTCCGATAAGGCACAATGACCTAGGTCCTGGGTATGATCCCCTCCAAAGAGGCAAATAGTGAATTCAGCAAGCTCACTCATGTCTGCTTACACCAGTCACTTCTGAACTGCTCAATGGCAGGCAGGGGGAATGACCCCTGGTTGGCAGATGCCCACTCACTATGACCCTGGATTGGACATATAGTTACCTTGAGTCCGGCCAGTCCTGTGTTGTTGGACTGTTCCTTGGAGATATACTCATTAGTGACTGTTAAGGTACCTGAGTTATTAGGTGCCTGTAGACTATGCCCAGTGACATGTGCATTACGTACAAAAGCTCCTTAGCTGTGCTGACACTGACTGAAGCTGTGAGGTTTCACAATGACACGTCAGACAAATACATATGTTCAGATTTACCATTTATCAAGAGGTCTTCACACTATTAATTATGCAATGATCATTCTACACACAGGCATTAATAAAGTGAGTAAAAAACCACAGCCATGGCCCGGGAGACCAGTGTACCTCCAGAAGAGTCCAGTGGGTCCGGAAGCCCTTTGGATGCTGGTCAGAGGCTCCTTTTGGGCAGAGATCACAGCAGCAGCCAACAGGTCTGGAGAAGTCCTTAGAGTTCTCATGGACAAAGCTTCTGAAGGCATCTTACACAAGACCTTGTCTTTGCTGGTTTTATGATCCTCTGCAGATGGGTCTATTCTCATTGTCTCAGCCACCTTTCACTTCCTATCAGTTCATTTCAGGTCTCTCATGATCCCAGGCAGCAGTAGTTGTTACCTTATCACTTCAGTTCATTCATATATGTTTATCTCTTTGGGGATGAGGGGACAACTTCACTGTGGACTTCATTCTACTGGAGATGAGTGACCCCATTTTAAGACATCAGGATCACAAATTAATATCACCTATCATCAAGACAGACAACAGCTACCACCTGGGGCTGAAAGCAGGTAACTGTTTTTATTCCAAAAACATTCTGTCTTGATTATGGCACCAGTTGCCGCGAAGGACTTCCTTTCCACCACCTGTTTTTCACAAGGTTTGAGTCTGAACTGCTAACATTCTACTGATTTCTGGGTGAAGGGACTGACTGCACCATCCCAGCCTGTCACAGCACTTGCCCCAGTACTTCCACTTTAAGAGTTTTCCACTTTGTCCAGAACTACAGTCCATTAATTCCCTCATTTTCTCTCTTAAGAGAATAAATAGGCTGGGCGCAGTGGCTCACGACTGTAATCCCAGCACTTTGGGAACACAAGGTGGGCGGATCATTTGAAGTCAGGAGTTTGAGACCAGCTTCACCTACATACTGAAACCTCATCTCTACTAAGAAAAAAAAAATTTAAAACACACACACACACACACACACACACACAAAATTAGCCAAGTGTGGTAGTGGGTACCTGTAATCCCAGCTACTCGGGAGGCTGAGGCAGGAGAATCGCTTGAACCCAGGAGGCGGAGGTTGCAGTGAGCCAAGACTGCGCCACTGCACTCCAGCCTGGGCAACAAAAGTGACACTCCTTCTCAAAAAAAAAAAAAAAAAAAAAAAAAAAAAAAAAAAGAGAGAGAGAGAGAGAGAGAATAAACAAACATATCTCAGGTACACACACATACGCCTCTTACCCCAAATACCAAACACAAAAATCCAATCTGTCTCCTTCTACCTAAGCAATTTTAGATAGTCACTTTCTCATAATTACCTTAAGCTCCCTGACTTGCTGCTTGTCCTTTCTCTGGCAAAATCTCATTCCTGGATGAGCCCCACTTTGTGTTTCCTCAATGGCACCACTCAGTTGAACCAGAAAAAATATCAAAAAGTGGTAAGAGATATCATCATACACTCAAATTACTTACATAAAAAATTGGCTGTAAATGTTTCCAGAAATCAATAAAAGTTTTGTTTCTCCAATGACATCATTTCTTCAGAAACCCAACATGTATAACCTATCTTTTCTATGTTCTTCTAACGTTTATTCAACTTCTCTCATCTGATATCTTGCCAAATCATTCAAGGAGAAAATATATCCCATTAGGCAAGAACCGACCATATTCCCATCACCTGAGAAAATAATACGCACAGGATGCACCCACCTCACCTTTCTCTGCCTCATTATGTCAGAAAAAGTATCCCTCCTTTTGTCACAAGGCAAATCTGAGATAAAAGATTTAGATGGCCTGTAATTCCAGCATTTGGGGAGACCAATGCAGACAGATTATTTGAGTCTAAGAGTTTGAAAGAAGCCTAAGCAACTTAGGGAAACTGCATCTCTCAAACAAATACAATTAGTCTAGCATGGTGGTGTGGTGGCACGTGCCTGTAGTCCCAGCTACTCAGGGTGGGGAGCACTGAGGTGGGAGGATCACCTGAGCCTGGAAGGTTGTGGCTGCAGTGAGCCATGATCATGCCACTGCACTCCAGCCAGGGCAACAGATATTTTTAAAAGGATCTTCTCTGTTAAAAATAATCAAATAAACAAGTGGCCCTGAGGCTGAGGTGGCTGCAGTGCACCCAATTCCTCCTTAAACAAACCAAAACTTGACTCAGTGTAAATAAGAAAAGGAAACCTAAGCTTAACCAATCAGAAACCACCAACTAACATCTAACTAGAGACTTTCCATTGTAATGTTCCAAATGAGGCCACTGCTCCACTTTACTCAATCAAGTATTTTCCTTTTCTTCCACATTCACCATATACAAGTTTTCTCCCACCCTCTCTAAGCCTCTCTGTTGGACCTTTGAGCTGCTTGAAGTCTGCGGTTGGGTAATATATACATTTCTGAATGCTCAAATGTATTTTCTAATGTTTCAAAGTGTCTGATTGTATCTTTTAACAGCTCTCATGATTACATCATTGTTTCTGGATCCTCAAGTTCTACCTCCTTCATTGGATTGATTCTTCAGTGTGTGAACACATTCTCCTCTACCATCATAAAGACTCTCCAAATATGGGCAGTTTCTTACAAAGCTATACATACTCCTATTACATGATCCATCAATTGCACTCCCTAGGTCTTTACCCAAATGACCCAAATGCTTATGTCCACATGAAAACCTACACACAGATGTTTATAGCAGCTTTTAAAAGAGCTGCCAAAACTTAGGAGGAATCAAGATGTCCTTCCATAGCTTAACTGATAAATACAACTGTGGTATATTTAGAAAATGAAATATTAATCACCTCTGAAAAGAAATGAGCTATTGAGCCATGAGAAGACACTGAGGAATCTTAAATGCATATTACTAACTGAAAGAAGCCAATCTGGAGAGTTATCTATTCTGTGATTCCAAGAACACAACATTCAGAAAAATGTAAAACTATGGAGGCTGAAAAGATGGATGGCTTCCAGTGGTTAGGAAAAGAAAGGATAAATAAACAGAGCACGAGATTATTACAGCAGTGAAAGTATACTGCAGGATATCATAACAGCTATAATGATACATTCATTATACATTTCATTCTCATTATACATTTCTCCAAACCCTTAGAATGTGAGCCACCAAGAGTATCACTCTGGGTGATGATGATGCGTCAATGTAAGTTCACTGACTATAATAATTATTCTACTCTGCTGTAGGGGGGTGTTCGTGGAGTGACCCGAGCGTGTACAGGAATTGAGGGCATATGAGATCTCTGCACTCTGCACTCCATTTTGCTGTACACTCAAAACTACTCTAAAATAATATATCTTTAAGAATCTATATCACATAGCCCTTTTCAAGTATCCAACTGGTCAGAGTCAATTCTATGAAAGCTCAGAAAACACTGATTCATACGCTAGTTCTGACCCAACTGGCAAGAAGAGGCAGGAAAGCCCCAGGCCAGGGGGGTATATTGCACACACATGCACCAGGAAACTGGAGGAAGCTTGGAGGCCCTTTAGCCTGGTCCTGAGCCTGCTGAAACTGCAGTTACAGGCACAGATGCCTGGGGCACCAATCTGAATCTGCCAACATCCACGGCCACATGAACACAAATGCACAGAGTCTCCTCTGCGATCAGGAGCTAAGGATGTTAGGCCATGATTGGACTAGGATGGGAGATGAACTGAGAACTATAGATTGTGTAGGCTTCTGTTGTCTCTTCCCACCCCCCAGCAACAAGTGATGAACACACACACACACACACACACACACACACACACACACACACACCATAGTGACTAACAGGATCTCCCTCCAGGTGACTTGTAGAGAGAGGAGCAGAAAACATCCCAGGGGCCTTTCACAGCTACTTCCTTGAGCCCCTTTCAGACAGTGCTGCCTAGGCCTGTCTCAGCCCAAGCACCACTACCCTGATATACAGAAGCTGGCATCCGTACCTGAAATTCAACATCAGGAAATGATCTCTTCTACCTAACACTGATGGAAATACCCCCAAGCAACGTCCTCATTGGCAGGGGTGGAGTAGGGGAAGTTTTTTAAAAAGTGAGGCTTCTGCCCACCACCTAGAGAACCTGGACATTTCCATCTACACCACAAAGTCCAAATCACTGGCCACTGCCCCAGTGATGACAGATTAGAACATCTCGCCAATATATCTGGGTTTCTATTCCATTGAATGAAATGACTTTTCTATTACAGGGACAGAATAAGGGATCAAAACGGTCTTACAACTGAACTCCAGTGGACAGTCTGCACAGACACTAGGCTTGTGCAAATATGACACAGCCAGGCCCCAGGACCCTTAAGCCAGCTGAATGTAGTGAATTTCAGGAAACAGTGAGATACATTCGGCAAAACAGTGGGCTTCATGCTGAAAGAAATCAATCCAAGAAAACATATCTCACACACACACACACACACACACACACACACACACACACAGCCAGCCTAGTGGCCAATAGGTCTTCTCACCAAAAACCTGCCATCAGGAGAGCAGAAAGCCTCCCAGGGGTCCATCACTGCACTCTCTGGAGCCCCTTATCAGACGGCCAGCTCCGGGACAGCACTGTCTTATCCTGGTCCAGCCCAAACTGTTGTCTCCCTGTGATGTGGGAGCTGGCCACTTCACCAGAACCTCTATGTCAGAAAAATTTGTCCTCCTTTTAAAATAATGAGGGAGAACCTTCACACAGTGTCCTGATTAGGGTGGGTGGAGAGGGGGATTCCTAGAAAGTCAGGCAGGGCAGGGCTGAAGCCCTCTGGGTTAACTATGGGCTTTTGATATGAAGGGAGGTAAGACTGGACAGGTCGGGGGTTAGAGAGGGGATGGACTAGGGTGGGCTGAAGAACTCTGCTTGGGCTCTGCACACCAGGGAAAATGACCATAAAACATCCCATCTTCACTGCTCAGAGGAGGCTAGATCTGCTGTGAGCTAGAAAGCCATGTGGGGGCAGCTGGAGTCATCGAGTAGGAGAAACCTGAGAGCCGTGTGTTCCACAGGCCTCTGGTCCTTGTTCAGGCAGCAGGCATTGTGAGATGTGGCTCACACCACCTTGACTGCATGCTGCAGGGAAAGAGACTGAAGCCCAAGAATGTGGTCTTGCTCACGACAGGATGACGGCTCAGTGCAGAGCCGAGCTATGTGTGGCCCGAGAGGCAGAAGATGCGGATGACCCAGGCTGGGCTGGGGGATCCAACTGAACATGCACTTGCTAAGAAGCTGTGGACTACCAAGATGCCTTGGGACCCCAGTCTGGATCTAGAATTGCAGCAAAACAGGCTACTATTAAAAGTTCTTGGGAAACTAACCCACTTTTGCTATCATCCACAGGCAAACAAACCAACCCCCACCACTTCCCACTCCCTCTGAAAGCCACCTGCCCCTCTGATCGACCACAGCACAATGGTGTCCCTCTGTAAGGCACAGGTAGACAGGGCATCCAGCCATGCACACTCCAGGGCCCACACATGTCCACAATACACTGGTTCTTGTTGAGACTCCACTCTTCCAGCTACAGACAAAAGCTCCCCACTCTCCTCAGCCACTCCCAACAACTGGAGGCCTGAAAACGTTCATGCACGCTGCTATGGTCTAACCACTTGTGGCAGTTTTCATTTTCATTTTCCTGGTAATCAATGATGTTGAGCACCTTTCCATATGCCTTTTCACCAGCTGGATGTCTTCTTTGGCTAAATGTCTACTCAAATCCATTGCCCATTTACAAATCTGCTTTGTGGGGGCTTCTTGATGGTTTTCTCTCTTTTTTTTCCTATTTATTTATACAAGTTCCTTAGGTATTTTGAATATTTGTTAAAACAATTTTCAAATCCACTGCTCAGTTATAAATCTGCTTTGTTGTTGTTGTTGAGATGGAGTTTCACTCTTGTTGCCAAGGCTGGAGTGTAATGGTGTGATCTCAGCTCACTGCAACCTCCACCTCCCAGGTTCAAGTGATTTTTCTGCCTCAGCCTCCTAAGCAGCTGGGATTACAGGCATGTGCCACTATGCCTGGCTAATTTTTGTATTTG